TAATAAATCATGGTTTGTTGAAAGTCTTTCTTTATCGTCTCCTTATCTAAACTTGAATGAATCTGTTGCTAACCCAGTTTGGACCTGCAAAAATAAAATAACCCTCTCCCTTACTGTTTTCTATCCAGTCTGCTCAGTTACTAAATGTCTGGAAGGAGTTCAAGAATCGAGCCTATGCCAGAGGAGGACCTGGGTTCAACAAAGAGTAAGTCTGCTGCCGCCCTCTGCTGGCCAAAGTGCATTATGGCAAAGCTGCTGTACTGTCCTCAGGAATGTTTACATTCATGTTTTTCTTTCAGTCTCATCCCATGGTGTAAGAATATGAAGACGCAGCTCTGTGGAATATACCGACAGTGTTTTCTCATTAACGCTGGACCAGGCGACATTCCTCAACGTCTCTCCCCAGGTCTGCAGGAGCGAGCGCAGACCATGGCACAGTGAGTATCAGTCAGGGTTTTTGTTTTTCAAATCTGAATCACCTTCGCAGGTTTTAGCACACATATTCCTTCAAGCGGTCATTGTTGATTCATTTTCTTCTCTTCCAGAGAGAAACTCATGGACTGGAAGGACTTTCTGTTGGTGAAAAGCAAGAGGAATATCACCATGGTGTCATATCCTTTCAGAAAAATAATCCTGCTCCCTGTGATGCCTATGATGTGTCTGATCTCTGTCTAAAACTTTAATTTTGAAACAATAAAATTACATTTTGTATTTCTTATTGATCTGATCTACTCTATAATTGACACTGTTACCCGAGGAAAGCAAACATAGATGCCCATCATCAGTTACAGTCCAAATGAAGCATATGAACATCATAATGAGTTAATCTTTTGATTTTCTTCCAGATTAGTTGATCTGGTCTATGAAAAGTTAGGAAAACTTCGAGGTGGCGTCTTGTTTTTCAGAAAAGGAGTCATAAGAGTTCAGTTCACTGTGATATATGATGAGGAGCAGCAGCAAATCTTCACATCTGCAGAAATCGCCATCTGATAGTGAAGCTAAAGTGAATTAATGATGCAGCTCTGAGGGTTGTGCAGATGCAGACTAGTTTAAGTCAGAGGTTTCCATCACTGAACTTAAATGCAGCCTCTTAAAACCACCTGTTCCCTCCATCAGGAAATGGAGCGAGTCATCCTCGCCACTCTGCGGTGGGACACAGCAGCAGTGACCCCTCAGGACTTCCTTCCACATTTTCTGGCATCAGTGGAACAGAGAGGCGAAGGGGACGGCGGTGAGTCTGTGGAGGAACGTTTGTCCACCCTGCGGCGGCACAGTGACACACTCGCTGCCATGTGTGTCTGTGACTCCCGGTTCCTGGGAGCACCTCCATCACTTGTTGCTGCAGCATCTCTCAACTGTGCACTGCGAGGCCTGGGAAACCAGGGGCCCTCTCAGCTGGCTCTCATGAGTGAAGAGCTGGCAGAGCTGTGCCAGACTGAGCTGGTGAGTAAAGACCTTTTCATTTCATTTTAATATGATTTAAATGAGGTTTTATTATTATTTTATTTTGTCAGTGAATAGGATTTGCAAGAACAATGTGTTTTAAGAAACTACACTAAGAAAACTTGTCACGTCTAATGCATGAAGAGTCTTGCATCTCTGACTAAATCCACTCCCTTTCTCTGTCTTGCTTCACAGGCAGTGCTGCAGTGCTACAGTGAGATGATAGAGTACGGCCTCCACCAGCGGCTGAGGAGTGGGCTTCAGCAGGGCCCCACGGAGAAAGAAGAGGAGGTGGAAGAAGATGAGCGGGCTGGGACCCCCACTGACATGAGAGAGATTGATTTCTAAACACTGAATCAGCTGATGCGTAGCAAGTGTAAATCAATCGAAACGATTCAAGTTCATCAGTCAAACTGATATAAATCGAAAATGACCCCAAAATGCTCAGACATGGTTTTATATATATACATTTTGAAATGATTGATTATTA